CCGGAGCGTGCGTTGGGAAGGGTTTCTCTTCAACGGGGGGCCCGTGCTATTTTTTTTGTATCTCCTCTTTCTTTAAAATCTCCCACCCCGCTCAGGTTTTTAACGCTGTGGGAGTTGAGGACCCGGACCTCGGTGTTCGCCAGGCTGGTAGCGAGTAGGTGGGTTTTCCCAGCTCTGCTGATGGAAGTTTGAGAACATACGGGGACCGAGAGGCCCCTTCTGTTTAACGCCTGGTTCTCCTCCTACTCCTCCTCTGCACCACGGCACGAGTGGGCAAGCTTCAGCAGAAACCTAACCGCTCCTCTCTCTTTTAATTTGCAGTCGGGGTTTTGTTTTGCTTTTTTTTGTGTTGTGTTTTTTTTTCCTAGAGAAAAACAAGAAGTGAGATACCAAGTTGGGGAAAAAGAAAAAAAAAGTGGGCCAAGATGTAAAGGACATGCTGGTAACATCTCCAGGTTGCACCTTGATGAAGACTGGTGTCCAACTCAGCGTGGGCAGAGAGAGAGACAGGGACACGGCAAAGCGTCAAATATATACGGCTTGGGAACACGCAGGCTAATGGGCTGGGCTCGGCGGGACACGATGGGCAGCAGCTCCAACCCTGGGGCTCAGCAGCCCAAGGAAAAGCTGCAGGAGCTGTTGAGAGGAGCTGGCTCGGGCACTCGGGCGCAGGGAGAAACCTCGAGCTGCACTAGGGCGCGGGATGGGACGGGCTGCGGGTCAGCGTGTCGGGTGGCTTGGCACCAAAAAGGGCCAGAGCAAGAAAAAAAGAACAAACTAAACGAAGTATCAGGCAGCATTCCTTTGGGTGAGCATCAACAGGCTGGGGCAAGGACACCGCGTGCCCTTCCAGCATCAAACCAGTCCCGGGATTAACCATGCAGCTGGAAGGTGCCACCGTGAATACAAAGAGCGAAAACATTCCCAATTTTCTTGGGAAAACGAGGAGAGGGGAGAGCCTGAAACGTCGCAGAGGAGGACTTACAAGTGGTTGCCCAGCATGTTCCTCTTCGTGGCCCCCAGGAAGCTCATCAGGCTGGGATCCGAATGCTCGTCTCCCACCATGGTGGGGCCGACCTCCTGCAGGGAAAGGCAGCAGAGCGGGTCAGCGACGTGCGGCCGCACGGCCACCCCCTCCCCGCTCCCCAGGACAGTCCAGTAGGAGCTTTACTGGGAAGGGCATTGCTGTGAGCCGCCTGCCCGTCCCAGGAGAGGCCCTCGGTGGCTTTGCTCCTGGAGGGCCACCTGCTGGCTCTGGTCCTCTTGGTGGGGCCGACCTCCTGCAGGGAAAGGCAGCAGAGCGGGTCAGCGACGTGCGGCCGCACGGCCACCCCCTCCCCGCTCCCCAGGACAGTCCAGTAGGAGCTTTACTGGGAAGGGCATTGCTGTGAGCCGCCTGCCCGTCCCAGGAGAGGCCCTCGGTGGCTTTGCTCCTGGAGGGCCACCTGCTGGCTCTGGTCCTCTGGGATCCACGGCTGGGGGGTCTGGCGGACCGCAAGGAGCCGCCACTCCCCGATAGGAGCCGCTACTCGCAGCCTCATCGTGCAAAACCAGCAAACCCGCGTGTTTTAGCACGGCATGAGTGTCCCCAGGCGGACCGTTTGTCCGTCCTGGCTGAAGACGTCTTTGGGAACGGCTCCACCAGCAGGAAAGGGTGAGCGGGTTGGGGTGAGGAGGTGCCGCAGCGTGAGTGGGGCAGACGAGCACCCGTGGGATGACGAGGGACAGTCACGCTCCCCTGGAAGCGACAGGAGCCGGGGCGAGGCTGTCGGCAACGTGAGTCATCTCGCCGCCAGCGCCGTCAGGTGGGCTTCCCACACGTCAGATGGGGGGGACGGGGACACGTCTGCACGGTGCTCCAAAAGTGTTATTTTATGATATATTCCTGGCCTGGAGGTTTTCCAGAACGAGGTATCAGCACACAGCAGGTAACGACAGCGCCAGTGTGACCTCCACAGTGATCCCAACCCACCGCCGGCACAGCCGGGGAAGGCAGCACCCAGCCGCCCAGCCACACCGTGGCCAGAAGGGCCAGAAGACCCAGACCTGAGCACTGCCCACAGCCACGAGTGCTCGTCAGTGGGAGAGACGTCGCACGTACCTCCAGTGTGGGACACGCAACCCACCCCGCCTTGCTCGGCGCTGATGGGGGTGCTAAGATGCTCCGTGCACTAATACCTACCCCCGTACCCTTCAGGCCACCCCTGAAAATAGCAAGTTTTAATTGATTTTAGTAGGTGGAGCAACTGTGTCCTCCTAAATCTCCTCCACACTACTCATGAGAAGTTTGCAAGTGAAAACTGTTCTTCTGAGGGATGTCCCCATCCACCGGCAAACCTACATCAGTTATCAACAATCTGTAATACGCAAGGGGCTTCTCAGCCTGAAACAACCTCAGAAATATTTTAAGTATCACCCAGACCCTTTTTGACCCGTCTCTGTCTCCCCTTGGAGAATGCAGAGCCCAGAGACAGGAGGAGGGTCCCTGGGCCTCCAATGGAGGCTGCACGGGGAGGCTGCGTGCTCCGCCGGGGTGGTGCGGAGCCCTCGGAGCAAGCGCAGCAGGACGGGGAACCGCGCACCTCGACCCACGGTGAGTTGAGCAACAAAGCGGCCGGACAGTGACGGCAGAGAAAGCAGAGAATTTCTCCTTGGCTGGGAGAGCCGAGACAGCTGGGCTGGGGAAAGCGGGTGGGTGAGGACCGAACGCAGCAGAGAGGGTGAAATCCCTCCCCGACAGCGTCCATCTACAGACCGGCGCTGGCAAACTGGGTGTAAATCATGAGCCTCGGTCAGATCCCAGCTAGAAGCACTCACGTGGCGCCACTAATCAAACAGGTCAGCGCGCGGGGCGAACACGCCGCGCGCTCAGCGGCCCGCAGCGCTGCGAAAGGCAGCAACGGCAGCAGAAACTTCTCTGCTCCCCGCTCCCCG